GTTTGATAGATTATAAAACATTAATCATTGATTTGAAATCACTGATTGAATAACACCCCCTATGTGTTTGGAAACATGAATAGGAAGTATTTAAAATTATGATGATTGGAAACAAGGATAGCCTACAAATCTAATGGGCTTACTTATTAAACTAAAAATTACTGCGGCCCAAAGTATCATTATTATTGTTTTGGATTTTCTATTATTGATATTACTTTATTTCTGAAAATTATTATACATATATGTACTCGTGTTTTAAAATGTATTTGGAATAAATCAAGTATAATAAATATATTTTATTTATATAATTTATATTGACTATTGTTATAATTTTTTAACAGTAATACACTAGCCTTCCAATTCTTCATTAAAAAATGAACTTAAAAATTTGATTAAATTGTTTAGTGTATATATAAAATATTACTAAAATATTTACGGGTCACAACATTTTACCGACGACCTGTTACACAATACAGTGATGAAATACAATGTTTAAACAATATACTATTACTTAGTAAATTAGAACTGTAAGATTGTAATTTTTAAAATATTTATATATACCATAAAAACAAAGACCCGCCCAGTCGGGCGGGTTATGATCTAGTCATCTTTTGTTTTGTTATCAATTTTTTTTTTTTTTGTTTTGTAATCATACGTACCGACGGTAGCTGAATTAAACGTGGTCGATTCTCCTCCAACACTTCTGCTTCCGGAATAATTGTTCTCCCTTTGCCATCACCTCTCAACATAACATTTTTTTTCGAATCTCAAGATTCTCACTGTAAACGCCTTGCTTCACATATATTACAAACCTACCACTCCCCGAAGCAGCGTTGATCGCGTCTTTAATCGTCCTGAAATTACAAGACCCGTCTTTAGCTACAACCGCGTTATCTCTTGGTGTCGAGCTTTGCAAAAGCTTCCGGTCACCGGGTCTAACCCATGAAGGGAACCCGTCTTTCTCAGGTGGGGTGTAGTTGAAAGGAACTTTGTTAATGGCGAGTGTGTTACATATAAGATTTGAGACGTTGTTTGACATCAAAGGAAGGACCATATCCTTAACACCAAGGTCTAAGAACCCTGCTCGGCAAGTGTCGAGATTGGTTAGAGCCGTGCTGAGCCATGTTTGCGCGTCGGTTTTCGAGCATTTCACGTTTGGGTCCATGGTCTCAGTGATTTTCGAGACGGTGAGGTCGTAAAGCTTGAGACAATCTTCCCAAGCAGCTTTTTCACGTGTGTCCCGGCACTTTGGTCCTAGTGTGGAAGCATGGGTCTTGGCGAGGATGATGCTCGCTCTAGGGCTAGTTTCATTGAGATTTTGAGAAACTCGGACTCGGTTTTTATGGGCTTTTGGCCTGAGTTGTGGGTTAAGAAATATTCACATGGTTTAGGGTTTGGAGTTCGGCTGCACCATGCTTTTACGTCTTTTAAGTTGTACCCGGAGACGGTCGATGCCACGAAAATGCATAAGAATGCAAATGCTAGAATATAAACTCGAAAAGCCATTATAAGGCCAAATGTTTTTAGAAACGATAAGTTTTTGTGTTTGAAGGTGTTTGGATGATGAGGTTGTTGTCTTGACTCGACGTGTTTATATAGATGCATGGATGACTTTATGCTTTTGTTAAATAAATAGTTCAAATATGTTATTATGTAGTTTCGCTATAGTAGTGAAGCCAAAAAAGCATATATTTCTGTACCAACCAATTGATTGTTAAGCATCATGTCGTCATTTATTCTCTGTTGAAATTTATTTCTCTTGTTTTGAGCTATCTGGTTTGACGTGTATCAAACTAATACTAAAACGAGGATATGAGCATCAGTTAGGCCATCCACATAGGTAGAAATAATTAACCAATAAGAGTATTTCATTATGCCATGTCAACTTAATAAAGTAACAAGACTTTCCACGTATGACTTAGAGCAGGATTAACGCAAGCAAAAAGGAGTTGCTTAGCTCAGTGGGGCCTACCAAATGCCCAACAACCGGTGTTTTTGACTCTTAAACAAGCGTCTTTCTTTGTTTGTTGTTTGTACTGTGCGCGGGCCCCACCGATACGTGGCGGCCCACGATTCACCTCTTTTTAATTTTTTTTTTTTTTAAATAGGACGAAAATTAAAAAAAAAAAAAAATTAAAAAAATAAGCAACTTTAATGGTTGCCTGCGTTAATCCTGCTCTTAGGCAGAAGCCCAAATCCAAAGCTTCATCCTTTCGTCTTCTACCAACCTGAAACTCTTCCTACGTTAAAATTTTTTCTTCTTCGAAATCAATCGATCTTGAATTCAATCGATAGTCATCGGCGGTTTCGAACACCCACCAATCATAAATTCCCAATCTCGCTTATCACTCCACCTTCTCCCAACTTAAACATATGCTATATAGAATCTGAAACAACCTATCATATTAATAATTTCCCTCACCTATCGTCTCCCGATCCAAAGAGAACCAAATTAGGTTGGTAAGAATTTCAATATTGTTTTGTTTCAGAAAAGCTCAACTCTTTATATGATTTTTTAGTATGATTTTTCTTTTTTTGCAAGATCACTCGATGACCAGGTATGATTTTTAGTATGATGTTTCAGAAAAGCTCAACTCTTTATATGATTTTTTAGTATGATTTTTTTTTGTAAGATCACTCGATGACCATGTATTTGTCCTCATCTTCGTACTTGAATGTTTCCTTCTGTATTATTTTTGTCATCTAAAATTAAATTTATTCAGATACAATGAGATTTGCGTATTGTCTATAGTGCTTCAGAACCCATGCTTTGGTTAGAATGAAGGCGATCGTGATCTCAGGAACGTCAGAGGTTCTGCAACTCCGAGAAGTGGAAGACAAGGAAGTGTATAAAGTGGAACCATCGTCATGTTTGTCGCTCGCTGGAAAGTCGGAAACCAGGTAGAGATTACTGAATTTACAAGATTGTGGATGGTTAGGAATTATAATACTCAGTCTGTGTTCAGTTCCTTTGATTGTTCCTTTCAAGTTCTTATTGACTTAGTATTCACTGGTAGAACAATTGAGTTAGTGTTGGAGAAGTTTCTGGCTTTTGTTTGCAATTCGTTTTTTTATATGTTAACTATTGATTACAGTTTATATTTGCTTGCCTTCAAATCCTCTACGTAGACTTAGAATAAAGTCTTAACCTTCTGGCTTGCTCTATTTGTCTCAGGTATGTGCTCTTCTTGATGGAGGAGGATATGCAAAGAAAGTTTGCTATACCCATTGGACAAATCCTAATTCTGCTGGTTTCTTCGTATAAGATACAGCTACTACTTTCGCTAAAGTGGAGCTTGGTTTCTCTGAATACGAACAAGGCTTATGAATTGATGTAAGTTTCCTTCTTCTACTCTCACTCTGTCCTAATATTGGTTGGCCAAACTTGAAGATGCTCCAATTTAGAGAATCGTGGTTGCATTACTTCTTAGCTTGCATTACTTCTTGGTATCACGAGCAAATTTCACAGATTCCGTTTCAAAGCTGGGAAGACTTGAAGAGTGAATTGTTATTGCGGTTTGGCAATGTCGATGATCCAGAGCTCATTACGTTTCGCCGGAAGTGGAAGTTGCAGTGGCCAAATATGACGGCGTATCCAATCTTCTACGGTGATGATGTGAAGCTTTGGATATCCATGATAGAACGTCTTTTTCGTCGAGATAATCTTTGGAACTGGGAGAAACTGGAGTTAGCTCACAACTCCGTGGAAGGAGAAGCCAAAGAGTTTGTTGAAAGGAAAGAATCGATCATGCCTTTCTGTTCCTGGAACCAGATGAAGGAAGAACTGTTATTGGGCTTTGGACGAGAAGACGATCCAGACATAATTCGGGTACGGATCGAGAAGGAACGCAGTTTGAAAGAGTACATGGATATGATAAAGCTACGTCACTCTGTTTCAATGGGAACAGAAACCAATGATTCCCGGGCAATGAAGCTATCTGACGAAATACATGAATGAGGAAGCAGATTGTGAGCTAACTCCAGTTGGCTCACAACTCCGTGGAAGGAGAAGCCAAAGAGTTTGTTGAAAGGAAAGCTGATGAAACGATAAAACACATGAATGCTGATGATAATTCTGAGAACAGAACGGTGGAGGCAAATCATTTTGATTTTACAAATGAGGAAGCAGATTGTGAAACATGGGTGATAAACGAGGTGATTCACCAATCTCAGGTTATCTCTTTCTTGGAATCTAGACCTGGAGATATGATGTTAGAAGCTTATGGAAGGGAGTTGGTTGTTGAGAACCAAAATATGGAGGTAAAAGCTGTTGAGAAGATGTTCTTTGATGATTTTCATGATGGTTTAGGCTTTGGGGACTTGTTTGAAGGAGCTGAATTGTTTAAAAGTCCAATAGATATAAAGGAGGGACTTCTTGCACACCAAGTATCTGATACAATGCTTAAGGAAGTTGGAAGAGAGAATCAGCAAAGGATCTTGAGCAAAATGCCAAAATCATGGAAATTCAAATATAAATTCAAGAAACAGCGTTGGTTTAGAGTTGGTGGTCGTATCTGTTTCATGGTTCTACGTTTATGGTCTACAAATGAGTGGAGAAGAAAGAGATGGAAGAAGAGAAGGGTAGGACGATGGCATTGGAGTGAACTTCTTATAGAATATAAGAAGCATTGGAGTGAAAAGGTTGCAAAGAAATTTATTGCAGAGGTGGTGAATACTGGCATAGCCTCTTTTCTGAGAAGAAAATTTGTTTCAGACTTGACAATTGGTGGAATTTTAAACAACTCAGAACTTGTGATATTGAGTTTCAGACGTTTTCAATCTCAGGCTGCAGCACCAACTATTTCACTGTCCATGGCAATAGAAGAAGATGGTTCATACATGGTTGCAACAGTGACAAATTATTCGCAGTTTGGGTTTGGAGTAGTTCAGTTCCGCCTTTGGAGCAAGAGACACAAGACTGGTTATTTTCAGCCTGTTTCAGCATTTCTGCAGTGGAGAGGAATGGGTTTTGAGTTTAGAGATGCAATATTATGGAGAAGACATTATAGAGATATGACTGAAGCTCATGGTACCAATAGTACTGTTGTTATGCTGAGCAAAAATCACATGTCATTGCTGTTGTTCAACTTGTGGGAGTGTGTCAGAGGCCTGTTACAATTGATAAGTGTGTATCCATTGGACAGTCAGAATAGTCTGCGAGGGTTAAGCTGGATTGTTGATATAGGCTGCATGGTCTTACGTTTTACCAGCAATGATTGGTGGGTCTGTGCAGTCAAAGTTTTCTGCTATTGGAGTCAATGGAACCACATAACTCTATCTCTAGCTGGAGGAATGAGTGTTCAGTCAAGACAGAAGCATGGTCGGATCAAATGTCGATACAAATGGCAATTTCTGGTGTACTCTGCATCTCTGGCCAAGAGAGTTTATTTTGCTGTGTGGCATTGCTGGAAAAGCAAGCCAGTGCAGCAGGTTGATGCTTTTCTTACGGCTGTGTATGCATGTGAGACAGGGTGGTGCAGTTCAACTACAACATTTTCAGTACGACAATCATCAAAAATCATGCGATTAGACAAAAATGGTGTGGGAACTGATTTGTGTTTGCGAGAAGCCACTGACATGACTTCTAATCTCCGGAGTCAGGACATTCAATCTATCGGCAAAGACACAAGTGATGATGTACTCAAAAGAGTTATTGCAACACTGAACTTCAGTATTTCATGGATCAATGGTTCACAACTATGAACATACAAGTACATTGGACAAAGCGCAAGGCTGTTGTGAGGCTGTCTATGAACATGAAAGTAGAGGCAGAGATCACTCAAACAATACTATACGTTCAGTTGTATTGGGAGCAGCTGTATGTAACAAGAAGCATAATCAGAGTACATCTTATGAAGTGGGCCACTAGAGGTTGTCTTCTGCAAGCATCATTTTCTATATGGCATCGATGGAGACGCAGGGCCTTCAAGGTTGGTGATTTTTCCAGAGCTGAAAGAGTGTTCTTCTTGCATATGCGCTTCCATGTCGTCTCCACCTTCATGAGCAAGTTGCACAAGCTGTACGCAGCGTGTGGCAAATTTTCCTGTTCCAGCTTGAGGGCAAGCTGGGTCTTCGAAAGGGGGTATTGATATGATCATGGAAGCAAATGATATGTCACTTGAGAAGTAATGAGCTGTCACTTGAAAGTATAAAGAAGAATAATCAGTTACAGGGACGAAAGACTAGTATAAATAGAAGAGAGGATTGTAACTGAGGGTTGGTTAGTTGGTTGGCCTTTGTGGCTAGGGCTTGCTTCTCTTTGAGAGCAAGATGGCTTTCCTTGTAATTCTCTTGTAATCCTCTGTTCTTGATAGAAATATACGTGAGTTCTATCAGAAACATGCTGGGAATTGTTTGTCTTTCAACTAGCGACACATATACCATTCTCATGGCAAAGACTTGTCGCGTTTACTGATGTTTATGTTCCATGTCACATTGCAGGTGCACGCTAAATACATTATTTGAGAGCTGAATAATTAGCATTTATGTGCTATGGCTTTTCATACTCCACTGTGTATTTAGTGTTTATCAATAAAACATAAGACTTTCGAGAGCTGAGGGAATGTCAGCACCTGGGAAGTTTGATTATTCTTCCCCTGCGTTAGATAGGCCTCCATACATATCAAACTGTGCTGCACAGATGGAAAGATCAAGTAGCTTTCGTGAGCTCATGGAACATCCTGTCCCATCTCAGCCAAACATGTTGAGGGGCACTTCACCAATAGCACAAACCAATGTAACAAATTTCTTTCACTGTTTGTGTTTTGATCCTAAGGTAGTTGCCACCGATTACAAGTCTATTCGTCCAGGTGACTTTAAGCGGCATGTTAATATTGCTCTTGGAATACAAGGAGATGAGTCTACTAGTGCAGCTCTGTAAGGGAAGTCACTTCCATCTCCTATACCAGAAGAGATCAAAAGACTAAAGACTGGTCTGGGCGAAAATAATGTGAAGGCCAGGTAGTTTACCTACCATAAGTTAGTTAGTTATGTTTGAAGTACTATTTTGGCTCATTTACCCTTTTGGTCACAGGGAGCGCGTAAAAGTTTTAAACGAAGCTTCTTCTGTATTTAACAAGTTTTTCCCAAGTTTGCCTACAAAAAAGAGGTCTCAACCAGGAGGACTTTCTGGTGATCGTTCTGGTGAACGCTTGGTATCAGGATCAGGCCTGAGTAAAATGGGCATTCAAGGTCCCTGGCTGGTGGTTTTGAGCTTGACCAGGAGAAGTTGGATGAACGACCTAAAACTGGCGTTCCAAATGAGCGAACACGTACTTCTGTGGTAATTCCAGACTCTTTTTTATGTTGTTGACAAAACTTCCTTTAGTGAATAATGTATCCCCCTTACTTGAACAAGTAAGCATCATATGCTATACTGCACTTTTGTGTCCGGATTTTTATTGCATGCTTCTGGTTACTGGGAAGGTGGATTTTTTGAACAAGTTATTGGTCAAAAATGGACACTGGTGGTCACTAATTGTAGTTTTTGATAAATTTTAGAAACTTTGTTACTTGAAGCAATTTGCTACCAAAAGTAGTAATTTTCATTTATGTTGAATTGCATGAAAATTTAAAAGTTAGATAAAGGAACGTTATATTATAGCAGTTGTCTTTTTATATAGTACTGTTATGACCTGAATATATTTGATAAGATGAAACTAACTGTTTTAAATTTGAAAGAAGTTTGTAAAAAATTGCATTTGATGTTCTTTTCTGAATTTGGTTCTTATATCATGTCCGTCACTATTGCTTCTGAAACCTTTAATCTCTTTACTTTGTGGTGCAGATGGATGTTCAAAGCAATTCTATTGTTTGACAGTTAGCTGTTACAGACAGAGATAAAGAAATAATGAATAATAATGCAGGGTGAAGATCGAACTTCAGCTGGTATTGATGGTTGGGAAAAGTCAAAGATGAAGAAAAACGCTCATGTATTAAAACGGACTGTCATTTCTACTTCGTTATGGGATGTATACATTTTTAATTTAGTTTTGTTAATAGCCTAAATTGTAATGTATTCATTAGTTGTTTACCGTTTTTTTATTTTAATGGTTATCATTTTTCTTAAGAGAAGTTAGAACTGAATTGTTTAGTATTTGCTGTTGAGCATACGGACATAACAATTAAAATAGTAATAAAATTTCTTATTTTTTGTTTTTCTTTGTGCAGTACATATTATACGTGTGTTTTTGTTTTTATGTTAGTTTTGGTTTATTTTTTGAAAACTTGGTAATTAAATACTTGAATTATTTTAGTGAGTGTGAATAGTCCATAGTTAAGAGAGAAAGTATACCTTTTATGTTGTTAATTTTTTTTCAAACTAAATTTTAAATTAGTCTTGATTATATATTAATTTCCAATATGGCTGTCCATAATTGTTTTCAATTTTTCCAAGCTTGAAACTAGGGCTGGGCAAAAAAAACCGAACCCGGAAATCCGAACCGAACCCGACCCGATAAAAAGGAATCCGAACCGATCCGAACCCGACATAAGTACCGAATGGATCTTGTTTTACGGTATTTCGGGTTATGGATATTACCCGAACCGAACCCGAACTTAAATGGATATCCGAAAGAACCCGAAACTTTGAAATTCCAAAAAAAAATTGTATCATATCCAACCTAAATTTCTAATATGTTTCCAAAACAGATTAATATATTATTGAGTACCTACAATAATTAGTTATGATATAAATAATTAACTCAGATATTTAGTCTAATATATAGTGTTATTTGGTTAATATTAATGTTTATGATTGACATTACATTTGAAGTTAAGTTACGAATACATTTGTTTTGAAGTTTAAATAATGTTGTTTTTTTAAGTTTAAATAGTACTTATTACATTTATAGAATTGTTAGTTGTTAACTTTAATTTTTTATGTTTCATTATGTATATTTCATTCATACAAGGCTTTGGTTTGTCATTAATCATGATATGTTTAGTATTGTCACATATAGTTCAATGACAAATATTATATGGTTGATAGATGAGTTTCACAATATTATTTTGAAGGAGAACAATATGGTTTCTAGAAGCTAAATACACAAATTTAATAAAACGATTGAAAATATAGTGAATTTAATTGAGTATAAATTAGTATTTTTAGAACCGATAACCCGATTCATATCCGAAACCGAAACTATTTTGGGTTCAACCGGATCTTGAAAAAGTTACTAAACCCGAACCGAACCCGATAAAATCCGAACCGAATCCGACCCAAATTTTTATAATATCCGAATGGGGCTGAAATTCATGAACCTGAAAACCCGAAATCCGAATGAACCCGAACCGAAACCCGATTAGGACCCCGATTGCCCAGCCCTACTTGAAACCTAAGAAATAAAAAAAATTGTGAAAATACACTTTTTATTGGACCTTACATGATGATATGTGAGAAAATAAATTGCAAATATATTATTTATTATACTTTATCTTTTAAAATATTTTTTATATATTCTTGACTTTCTATATTTTGTGTGTTATCTCTAAAATTTCGTTATATTAAAATATCACTACTTTAAACTTGGTTAGATTTAAACCACACTATTTATATTATTTAAATATATTTGATAAGATATTAACAAAACGAAAAAATATAGAAATATCTGTAAATATTTCAAAATGTGCCGCTCGATGCTCTCTTCATTCAGGTTCTGAAGTGGTGCATTGTGAAGAAAGTATTAGCGTTTATTAGTATAGACACTAGGTCTTTTTAAAAGAGGCCAACAGACACTCATAGCAGATTTTAGTAGGGCTGGGACTTATTATCCGGGATTCGGATCCGATCCGAGATCCGCTCCGGATCCGCTTCAAAATTAGGATATCCGAGGTGTCCGGATCCGAATCCGGATAGTAAAATCTTGGATCCGTCCAAACCGATTCCGAATCCAGATATCTTAATTTTTAGGTCTGGATATCCGGATCTGGATCCGTGTTTTTAAATTATAATAAATTTTTACTTTTATTAATAATTATATTAAATATATTAATAGTTTTACATAAAGTTAATCTTATAATATTATACTTTAGTTTTAGTAATATTATATGTCATATATATATTCATAAATTTGGTATAAATATTTAATTTGTCTATTGTTATCAAATTTTTTGGATTTTTAGATAAATTTTTGTTTATTTTTAATTATTTTTACGGATCCGGATCCGAATCCGGATATCCGCGGATATTACAATATCTAGGCGGATATCCGAGACCCGGATACCCGGACGGCCCGAATCCGAATCCGGATACTAAAATCACGGATCCGACGAATCCGAATCCGGATCCGGATACTCCAAAATTTCCGGGTATCCGGATCCGTCCCACCCCTAGATTTTAGCATCCTAAAAAGCAAGAAGAATAGGAAATTTAAAGTTGTCATCTTCACAAGCATAATGCCTAAACTTTTAAAGGTAAATAATTTTTTTAAACACATAAAAAGTTAAACAAATCTATATTTATTTTTTCTCAACAGAAAAATAATATACAGAATTTTACAGGCAAACTACAACTCAATTCATCACCAGCAACGAAATTCTACTTCAACAAATCAATCGAATACATCAAGCATTTCAAAAAATGAATAAGAGATCAAGTAAAAGCATGGACTGACGAGGGACTTTAGTTCATGCAAAACCACATGAAGGGAACTCAAAAGAAAGAATATATCCAACCATCATTCGGTTTATTATTCTCATTCCCACACAACTTGATAAACAATCAAATGATATTTTTTAAAAAAAAACTAAATAGAATTATTAGAGTGTAGAGGATTAAACCGAAATAGAATTAGAATTGACTTGGTTTATTGTACACTGGTGATCGACCATGAATTTTACCTACTTTTAGCCATGGTCTATAGATGTTTTATATATATTTACTACGATATAGAGTCTATTTAGAGTAGTTACAGGTTCATGTACGTTCTGGAGAAATATGGTGATTTTGGTGTCTTTTGGAGTCTATTAGTGTAGAACTGCATAGACGCGTCAGATGTTTAGATATGGATGGAGACCTTCCCTTGGTGAGGTTGAGCTGATATTTTGACACAAGATATAGATTTGAGTTATCTTTCCAATGCCACCGGTCTCCGGTCAATCCAACGGTTAGATCAGAAGTTATACCCGTTTTACTGAAGAGTGGTCAGCATGTCTCGCGAGAGGAAGCTGTAGAGAAGATATGTTCATGTCGATTGATGGGAGACACTTCATATCAACCGACATTAATGCCAGAACGCGGGCCGGCTATATTTCATGACCGCCAGAAGTCCAGAAGCCATCACAAATTACCAGAGTGCCCTTGGACGACCAGAAACCCTATTTATGATATTTATAAGCCACTGTTGACGGCTAGACCTACACATACTTTTACACATGCTTTTCTAAGTTCTATTTTTATTGTTCTCTTTGTTAGGAGAGAAGGGCGGAACTCCTATCAGAGTCCTCCTGGAACTCAATTGGTTTTGGTTTTATATTACTTATGTTCTTCATCTATTCATCTCTGATTTATGTGACAAACTTCATGTTTGAATAGATCCACCTGTTGGATTTAGGGTTCAGGTAGGTTGTGAGATTAGCCCTAACTATAGATTGCTAAGTTGTGATATTCATTGTCACGATGAACCCTAATGCTCGTTTCTAGAGTCATGAACTAGAACCATGAACTGGAATTGATTAATTCATTAATCATCATCCTGATCTCATCTTATACAAGCTAAGGTCCTCTAGGGATAAGCGAGAACCGGTCTATGATCCTGGTGGGCACTTATTCAACTCGATCTGAAGCTATATCGGTGATACTCCTATAGATATACATTAATGACATACCTGCAACAACAATCTTTGTCGAAGACAACAACATCACCAAACCGCAACGTGGCGCAAGTAACTTCAACGACACTGACCTTATTACTACCATCATCTCCACCGGCTGTTAGGTCGATTTTGTATAAGAGACCGGAGAAAGTGTGGATGACGATGAGGAAACCATCGGGGTGATAAACAATACCGTTAAGAGCGACGAGAGGGCTCTCAATGGTTGACACAATCTCTCCATTAACATCAATTTTTAAGATTTTATTTCCCTTTGCATCGGTAACATAAGCATTGCCTTTTGCATTGCGTCGGGGTAATGGTTTTATTCTAAACTTTGCAATCTCACCCCAAAATTTCATATGTGCACTCCAAACCCTGCCAAATGCGATTATGCATGCATTTGCAATATAAATACCTAAATGCAACCTACAATGATCATAATAAGCTAAAATAGGAGTCTAAAACTCTTTAAAATTATGTTATATCAGAATACATAGTAATACAAGTAGTAATACTAGTAAATCTAGTAAAGCGTTCTTTCGTAGTAAACCAGTAATCGCAGTAATACCCATAAAATATCCTTCACTTACTAATCTGCTTTTTAGGACGATATTGTTCGGATTATACAATTGCCCATAATGTATAATTCATCTTAAATGAAATTACAACCATAAATTCATCAAAACGAACATAAAATACACTCAAAATCTATAAATACAGTTTTCAAAAAATTTAAAAAAATCTCTCATAATTTTCATCGAATCTTCTTCTTATAACTCTAGCCGACATATATACGATATTTAAATGCTATTTCAAAAAAAAAAATCATCAAAAACAAAAACAATTCAAAAATTTACTGAAAACGCATTAAAAAATACTTCATGAAGTTCGAATCACATGATTAAAGAAAGGTTACTTGACAAACTATAGAACCACATGAGCAACGTGACATATGCTATAATTACAAACAAATGAGAAAATTTGTTTTCATAGTTTAAGCACAATATGTTACTCATACTCTTTGAGATGTGTTTCTACTTTCGTAATAAATAAAACAAACTATTTTACCTTCAGCTTACAATGAACGCAACACACGCTCCTCATACTCTCGGATATCTATTTCCATACCCAATAGTTTGTAACTTTGTTTCTAACTTTGGATCGACAACACAAAAAACATCACATGCACACTCCTACACTAAATAAAAACAAATAAATAGGCACTCAATCTAGACAACGGACCTTAAAATCAATCATACGGAGAAAATGTTACACACAAACATTACAAAGAAATTATCAATACATATATTGAAATTTTATAATAAGTAGACAATCATATAATTTCTAAAATGAATATTAAAATAAATAAGTAAAATTGTTGTGAAAAATTATAGAAAGAAATGCTACTTTCAGTTAAAATAAATTAAATATTTAAAAATATAACTAATTATTAGTTTATTTAATCTCCCGCCCACCTGTCCGTATGGTGGGTTTACCCTAGTTGATGATAGTTCAAAGCATTATTATCCATGATTTTTTAGGGTGGGGTTTTTGGGGAATATAAAAAACTTTTTTTTTAACTTTTAACTAAAAAATTAAAAAAAAAACAGTTTTTATATTCTTCTAAGAACTTCATCCTAAGAAATCTTGGATAATAATGCTCTCATACGTTTACAAACTCTCTTGTGTGGGCTACCTTCCACCTCCTACCTAAGAATCCTTCATTTTTTTTTATAATATTAGCTTTATGTAGTTCTATTAGGCTTGATAACCATGTCTATGTGATAAGACTACTCATAAAATCTATTTTTGTATCGCACACATTTTTATGTTTTCAAGTCAATCATTTCAATTGTAGCCTTACAAGAAGAAAATGCAAGTAACTTAGTTTTCCTTTCCTATTTGTTTATACAATGTGGGTGATTGATTTGAATTTAACTAATGACTTTAGTTTTATATTCTATCTACAATCATATAAATCACCAATATAAATCACCAATCATGATTTAAGTAATTAAGCAACAAAATATTGCTTTAGGATTATTAAAGAAATATTTTTTCTTTTTCTATTTTTTTTCTCATTTAATTTCTACCGTTACATTATATACAACTACATCAAAAAAAAATCTACAGACTAAATTCTACAGTTATAATCCAACCAATCACTCCCTATAAAAAACTATAGGTCTAATAAGTGAAGTTCTGTGATGATGTCTCTGATGTATGTTAGACAGTAAAGAGTAAAAAGAGTGATTATCCACCCCCCCCCCAATAAGAGTAATAAAGATCCGATGCTTAGTCTAATTTACATGAGCCATGTTCGTTTTATAACCACCACATCCAGCGGTAGCGGCCAAAAATTCAACCTTTTATCATGGCAATACAAACCACCGGTGAGATATCGCTGACCTATTTCTCAGACACAGCGGCAACTAACAGCGAGAGAATGAACGCTGGAATTATCAGCAACACAAGCGTCTCTGTTTTTGTGTCTCCGGCAATCAAGTGGCGTCTACTTTAACTTTAGATTTTGTTACTTTGGTCTCCGTTTTAGTACATTATTTTGCCGCTGCGGCTAGAGTCCGCGTTTATGAAACGAACAGAGCTATGTCCATATTATATTTATTACGGTGAATATGTAAGGTATCTCTTTAATCCGATGGGTTTTAATCTATACAGCAATACAAAAGTAATTTTCGAACGTTAAATCAATTCATGGATGATACGATCCTCATAGAAAAGGTGTGGTGCCACATTAAAACGTTGATTTTGCTCAAAATATCTTTACTAGCTAGTTAGCATCCAAAACAAGTAAAGTAGCTTCCACGCACGCACGCGTATGTAAATTTCGGTAGCAAAGATGCAATTCTAAACATGGAGAAAAGTAGGGGATGGGTCCATTTGGGAATCATATAAAACCAAGGATGTTGTCTAACTTGTCATTGGTCCATTACGTTATCTTCATGTTCGCGTGTGCAATGCGACCTTACTGGATTATAGATTCTTCTCTGTCTCTCTCTTTTTCTTGTTAAGAATATGATTTAAGTGTATTTTTTTGTTAATGAAATATAGTATTTCGATAACATGGCTTGAACATATTTTCTCACACCAAAACATTATTTCACCAGAATATTTGTAAACCTGTGATAGTTTCTACTGTTTCCTTAATTAGAATTTAAAAACTATGATATGCCTGCGTGATAATATTCCTTCCGATTTAATTTTGTTGTTGTTGTACAGTAAAATTTTCGTTTTAAAATAAGTGTCGTTTTAGAATTTTAATGCAAAAATTATTAAATTTATCTACTATTCTATTTTCTATTGATTGGAATGTGGTTAAGTGTATAGGTGATTATATTTTTTCTAGAAAATATGTAAAATTAAATGTTTTCTTAATCTGTGTGTAAAAAAAAACAAAATGACAACTAAACAACTAAACTGAACGAAGAGAATATATTTTACTTTTTTATAATATATTTTGCTGCATAATTATGATACTGTGATATGTCTATGCGAATACTGTATGTTAACATACATAAAACTATTTTGAAATTTTGAAACAAATCAGTAGAAATCTTTAAGTTGTTATTAAACATACGTCACTGGATATACATACATCTGATCTCTAGTCTTACACAAAAGTTTTAAATTATCACTAAATTTCTCTTACAAAGTCTCACTGGATGGTTCATATATAGTGAACTTGGATACTCAAGACAAGCGAAAATTTATTAGCAGCACATTATGGAATCTTACAAAGTCACTCTGGCATTGTCTTTGTTACGAATATTTTTAAAATTCAGAGTATGTTCCAAGAGTTCAGCCCTTGTTCCAACAGATCTTCTTGTTCCACCCAACAACACATTTTCTGTTTAGTCAGCTCTGAAGGATTCTACTTGCTTTTACACTTTTTAGAAGAGATATATTTCTGTTCAAAAAAAAAGAGAAGAGAAATATTTCAAGTTAAAATTAAAGGTTTTCATATGTAAGAATTTTTTTTAATAGAATTACTAACAGCTAGGAATTATTTATTCTTCCATTGTACAGAACAGTTAGTCACATTTTATCATTATTTATAGTAATGTTTGAATCACTTGATTAAACTATGACTTTATCATGATTATAAACATTTAGTTTGGAATGTTTTATCTTTGTGCAATCTCACTGTACCTTTAAATAGTTCTCAAATGTAGCAATCTTCAAACCTAATACAATTTTCCTTATGATAAGGATTTTGTTTTAATTTTCTAAAATAGAGAAAACAATCCATGATTATCAGTTTTAGATTAGGACCAACCAACCGGTAAGCAAATAATATATTATCAGTTTTTGCTGCCGAATATAGCGTCAATGGAGACTCCATTATTGTGACGCAATGTGACCACTTGAGCATCTTATCATTTTTACTCCAGAGCCACCTTACTTTCCTAAGCTTTCCCTTTTTTCTGCAACTAATTAATATAGCAAATGAATTCTTGAATAAAAATATATAAGCGGGGAAAGTTAATAAGAATATAGTCAATAGTTTACATAGAAAGTCGTATGTTGTAAAATATGATGTTATATAGGGCTTTTGGAAGTGAGAAGCATATTGTTCATTTAAATATGCAAAGTTCTAAAAACGATTAATTGTAATTACTTTTCATATAAATTTGATAATATATTAAGACTCGTGTTATTGGACCTTTCTCCAAATACCATTATAAAGAAGCAACTCACGGCACTGCCAAAACAAGTAGTCCAACAAACATACAGAGTGAAGAATGAAGCGTACAAATCTTTTATCGTTTCTTGCTTCTCTAATTCTTCTTCTTCTCCATTTGGGTTCAAACCCCACTCTTGCATCTGAAGATGTACATTCATTATTCCTTTATCATATAACAAATCTTTCATTTTGCATTCAAAACTTCTTCTCTCTTAATCATTCTTTTCTGTATGTGTGATTCAGGCGTCCTCGTATGTGGTATACTTTGGAGGTCATTCTCATGTTGGAGAGATAACAGAAGATGCCATCGATCGAGTCAGAGAAACACATTACGACTTTCTTGGTTCCTTCATTGGAAGGTCTCTTACACAAGCCACTAAACTTATTAATTTTGCTACTATATTTATCCTCCATATTTTTGACGTGCGTCTTAATTTATGTGGAAAGCAGCCGTGAGATTGCTACAGACGCCATTTTCTACTCATACACAAAGCACATCAACGGCTTTGCCGCTCATCTCGACCACGACCTCGCATCAGAAATCTCCAGTAAGTACACATGGCCGGTCCACTATTTAAAATTTGTGTATATCTTTTTGGTAATGTAGAAAGTATAAGTAACTTGTTTTTTTTTCCCCTAACAAGCGACTTAAAAATACAAAAACAAAGGCATAACTTCATTTGCCCTATTCTATTGATCGGACCTAAATATACATTACGTGTTATGTGTTTCTCTCTGTTCATGATTTAGAGTGACTTTACTTTGTTTTGATTTTTCTAGAACACCCGGAGGTTGTGTCTGTATTTCCAAACAAAGCTTTGAAGCTTCACACGACCCGATCATGGGACTTCTTGGGTTTGGAACATAACTCGTATGTTCCTTCCTCTTCCATATGGAGAAAGGCCAGGTTCGGAGAAGATTCCATCATTGCAAATCTCGATACAGGTTCTCTCTTCTTTTTAAATTATTTTAGTTTGTCATAAAATCTATTGGTCAACCTTTGCAACTTTGGGAGCCTTGAGATCGGTCTTGGGGAAGATACGCACCTTCCTTTAAAATTAAGAACTACACATTTTCAAAATGGATTTGACTTGCACTACAAGAAATATATTAATTTTTTTAGATAGCTAATGGTCCTCTAGATGTCAGCAAGAATCAATCCACCATTTATATTTTCACGCATGTGCGCATGTGCATATTCATTAATATGCATATTCTCTTCGCTCAACAATAATTTTAGCTGGTCTTATCTTTAATATATTCTTTATGACTGCATCATATAGTTTGACTTGAATTATACACACAAAGATTTAACCTTATGATTTTTTACCAACCTCTGTACTAGATATTTGTTCGATTAATTAGTTAGAGATTGGTGAATCGATTAATTAGTTAGAGATTGGTGAATAATTCCTCGTATA